GCCTGTGGAGTGGGAGCCAAGGTCCTGAAGGAACGTGAGGGAGTGCTCACAGTACTTGGCAATGATGACACTGAAGTTTTTAAGGGGGGATGGGACGTGCGTTTTTAAGAAGTGAATTCTGAAATGAAGTTAAAACAATATTCTGGAGTGGCAACGGTGAGGGAGCCAGAAATGAGCTGAACCTGCAGCTGAGATGTGAACCCCTGATCTCACTTCTCCTGAGAGGCACAAGAGACCTGTAGACCTCAAGAGAAAGCCAGGTACTGAGGAAAAGGTGGAATGCATAGATATATTTTGGTGATTGAAGCAAAGGGAATTCCGGAGGTCACAGTAGGGCAGTCATCAGGAAGGGACATGTCATGGAAGGGTTAAGGTCAGCAGATGCCGGGCAGGAGACTGAACTGCAAGACACGGAATGCACAGGCAACCAACTTTGATTCAGACGATGAAGAAGGGCGTAAGGTGGAGGCAGCACTGTGTGGTCCTGAGGAGAAACCAGAGTTTTAAGAGTTCTGCTTTCCCACTACCTAGCTGTGTGGCTAAGAGGTTAGTTAGCAAGTCAGTACATCTTATATTAGGGCATTTAGGTGGCAAGTGACAGAAAACCTACGTAATCTGGCTTAAACAATACTGAGGATTTATTACCTCCCATAACCGGAAATTCCAGAGAAAGGGTAGCACTTCAGGGGTTGTTTGACTCAGCAGTGCAATGATGTCATCAGGGACCCAGTGTCTCTGTTGCACCTTGTATGGTGGTGGCTTTATCCTAAGACTGGTTCCACCGCCTGGTCACATGATGGCTGCCAACAACACTCAGGTAAATGTATTTATATGTATTTCCTTGTACACATCTACAGAGAAAGACTTTCTTTTGGAAGCATTCTCAGAAAGGTGAGAACACATCTTTTCCCTAAGCCCAGTAAACCTCTCCTGAAGTCTCACTCATTTGGGTTGAATTTGGGTAACATGTCCAACCTTGAACCAAATCCTGTGGCCTGTGAAATACCACATGCTGACTGGCTGTGGCAAAAGGGAACTGCCCTGACCAATTTGGAGCATGTAAGGCCCACTCCTGTTGCTGGGACAGTCAGCTTCTCCTGAAGCACACCGGCTATATTGGGAAGGAGCATGCCCACCAGAAATCTGGTATTGTTAGGCAGGAGAAAGGAAGAATTAATGCTGAGTAGATTACTGAGAATATCCGCTACCACATTGAGATGATGTGAAGATTAAATGAATACTGTGTGAGGTTGTCTTGCTTTTTCCTTTCTAAAAGATTCTTGGAGATAGAGCTAGAGAAGAATGCTGGGTGAAGAGAGAGGTAGATAAGGGTGGAAGGTGAGGAAAGAGAAGCTTGGGGAAAGGGTCCAAGAACTAAGTGGAAGAGACAGCAGAGGTAGATGGGGCTGGAGTTGAGGTGAAGACGTAAACAGAACACACCTGTCTGAATTCTCAGTAGAAATTAAGAACAGTATTCTTCTGGTGCCTGGCAAGTTCCCCTTTCCCAAGAGCTGATGAGGGCCTAATCAGTTCATCTCTGTACCTGCCTACGCTCAGAAATGTTCAATAGCTCCCAGCTGTATATCAGCTAAAGATATTTGCCTCACCCTAGAATTGAAGACTCTAGAATATCAATTCAGCCTACCTTTGGCCTCATTTCTAATTATCACCATATACAAATTTATCCAAATTTAGCCATACAAGTCCAGCCAAATTGGACTTTTGGTTGCTTCACAATGGCCCCTACATCTGCTCTCCTCTCTGCCTTTGTGTGGGCTTTTCCTCTGCTTTGAATGTTGCTCCATCTTTCCTGGCTGAAATCCTCTCATCTTGAAAGCCAAGTTCAAAGGCTTGTTCTCTGATGTGGCCTCCACTGGTCCTTCCAGGCTCATGCATTCATTCTCTCTTCACTAAGTTGCACCAGTATTAGCTGTCAGTGTGCTTGTCTCGCCCGCTCTAAGTTGTCCGATTCTTGAGGACAGTTCTCCTCTATCCATGTTCATTCTTTATTTGCTCATTAAAAAAAATTGTGGGTGTCTACTGTGCACTAGTCACTGTGCACACAGACGTGAATAAGAAAAGCACTCAGCAAATATTGGTTGAGCTTAATGCTGTTGAAATGGGACTTGGTCTAGCTGAGGGTATTCCGGTAGTGGAACTGCATTGATGAATTGATGTTCTCTCTGTTGATCTTCTATTCTCAGTGTAACCATATTTGCCAAAACCTTGCCTCAATGGGCCTTAAACTCATAGAAAGGCTGAGTTTCTGTTGCCAAAGTGAAGCAAAGAACTAAGACAACTTATTGAGACAGCTTATAGATTGTTCAGGAAAAAAAATCTGCCTTTGAAATTATTGAGTCATTTCAGTTTTTATTCCAGAATCATACAAGGCACTATCATCTGTATTATTCAGCAGTGGCTTTCAAAACTTTTTTGCCATGACTCACAGTAAAAAAAAAATACCCTTTACATCATGATCCAGGTCATATTCAGTCATTCATTCGTTTGTTCCTTCAGTGAGTAGGTACTGACCACCTACTATATGCCGAATACTATTCTAAGCAGAACACAGTAGTAAACAAAGAAGAGGGAGGGAGGGAAACAAAATCCCTGTCTTCAAAGACCTTACATACTGGTGGAACATACAGTAAACAAGTAAAACAAACACACGAACACACAGAAACAGGAGGTTTTGTTTCATGAATCTTCTATTACTATGTGCCATGCACTCTAATGTTTTCTAAGGAAAAAAAAATGCTAGTCACACCCCATTAAGCCATTAAGTTGGCTTCTCAATTCAGTAACAGGTTGAGACCTGCACTTTGAAAAATCCTGGTCTAGACAATTTATGAAGTAGGCAGAGTGTGTAAGGTTCCTATTTTACAGACAAGACCAAGCGACATGTAAAGAAAGAGAGGCTAAGTGATCTCGCCAAATTCACCCGCAATCTGAGAGAAGCGATGCTGGAACTTGACCTCAGGGCTTCTGAGTCCACTCCTGCCCTTTCCATTATTTCCTGCGGTCCTCACAACTGTCTTGGTTCCTACTTCTCTTTGATTATGAAATCTTGACCTTTGCCTGGAGCAGCTCTTCCTTCTCTTGCCAGGTAACATCCTACCAATACTTCTAGGCCTATCTGGACTGCCGCCTGCTCCAGGATGCCTCTCCTGTGCCCCTCCGTGCATTCTGGCTCCTCCGTCATTCCTGCTGTACCAGAGGAGGCTCCTCCACTGTGACCGCCTTAAGAGCAGGTCTCACTCATCTTTTCCCCCCAAAGCCTTTACAGAGTGCTTTATAGACAGAGTAGATATTAATAAATACATACAGAACTGAACTGAATTTGTAGGGGACTCAACGCAGAGGGGTGGGAGGAAGTGCTTCCTAGCCAGGACTGCAGGATTTAGGCAACATCTATTTAAAAGGCTAAGAGACTAGAAAAGATACCACTGGAAAAAAGATCTCTTTATCTAGGTTATAAAAGTCATACATTAGGTAGAGCCTTCAACAGTATAAAAATTACACAATCCAAATGTTTTATCTCCCTAGCATCAGTAGATAGATTTAGAACCATGCCAGTAGGTCATGGATCACACACAACAGGAACTTAGTCAAAGTAATTCAAGAAAATGAACGCCACTATTAGGAGGCCCAAGGAACAGCTGGACGGACCTGAGGCAGGACAGGAGCCAGAGGCCCCCGGGGAGCTCCTCAGCAGCAGGCGTAAGGGCACCTTTGCTATAATGGTGACCACTACAGTGGGGACAGCTGCCAACTCACCCAATTGAAGAAAATCAGTTCAGATTCTCAGGAGAATCTAAAGGGCACAGTCAAGTCTCAAATTGTCACTCCTGCTTCATACAGTTTGGGTAAGATGAGGCTATGTGGCTGGTGCAAATATCTAGGGAAGGAGGGAGAAGAAACTCTTTGAAAAGGGAGATGAACTTTGACTAACTATTGACCCCAACTGGAATTTTAAGTTTAAATTTTATCCTGCCCCCAGAGAGGATGGGGACTCAAGGCCAAGATGAGGTCAGTTGTAAGTAGTTATATAAAATACTGTATCTGTGATACAGTGTAAAATATAATTTCAACCCTATATTTATGTAAAAGTAAAAAAAAATGTAGGATTTTAGCTAAATGACCTCTAAGTTGCAGAGACCTATGAGTCTGAGTTTATAAATATATATCATGAAAACTGAATTCTCTAAACCCATGGTTTTCAGACTTTATTTTGAATTAGAGATTCTAATTCTGTAGGACTAGGGTAAGGCAGTGGGAACTGCATATTTAAATAAGAACCCCAGGTTCTCTTAAAGATGTGTCATGTTGAGAAATTTGCTTAATCGAACTCCTTCCTCCTTAAAGTAATCAAAAAGGGGCTCAACTTACATACATTTCTAACTAGAACAAAAATGGACAATACAACCAAGCAGGCACACCATTTATGTGGTAACACTAAATAAGAGCATGTACAAATTTTAACACCACTACATTTCTTATAATTATTTTTAACAGCATTTAGTCACATAATTTATAGTGGCATAGGTTTATAAAAAATGTTTAAGACTGGTTGGTAACTTAGTCTTATCTTGGGTTTTCTTTTAAAATTGAGAATAGGGGAACTAGCTATGAGTTAAAAGGATATTTCAGGATGATATGTTAACTATAAAGTCAAAAGGTACACTGATATCAATTCCATAAACAGCAAATACAAAAGCAACTTATTTAAGCCTATTGGCTCACATTTTTAAAAAGCAACCTCATTTCTTTCAAGTTAAGTACTATAAATGGTTCTTGAAAGTCCACTGTGAACATGATATACTCAATCCAACTAGTTGGAAGCTGGGGGGGTGAGTTTTTGTGACCATCCAATTCAAAGTCTGATTCAGGGTTAAAAATCAAACTGCGTTACAAAAAGTTACAGTCCTGGGTAACATAATCAGTTCCTCAGACAATACAGTTTTCAAAGCTCTCATCATCCTGGTTACCCTCCTTTTTTGCTTTCACTTACACATACCATTCTTTTAAAGAAGCAAAAAATATAAAAGTTCACCAAAGTTCTGCAAGTCACAGTTCATGTAGCACTGAATGATAGTAGCTTTGGCATTTGATATTAAAGTCACTTTCATTACAAATATTTTCTTCATTCTGGGTCAAGGCGAGGTAAAACAGGAAGAATAAGATTCCCAAAGGCAGAGTCTTGAGTTATGAAGTATCCAGATGAATGTGCATGTGCATGCTGGGAAAGAGTTAAAAAAAAAAAATGCAATTAAGCTATTATGAGTCACAATTCTTCAACCAAGGCATTAAAATTACTTATCCTTTCTGAGTGCTTGACACCAAATTTATTTTAAAAATCAGTTCTTATGCTGCTAATTTTGTTTAAATACACAGGAGATGGACAATAATAAAGAATTCACATTAACAAGTTGCATCAAGTACTCATTTATCATCCCCACTCTCCCTTGCTTCTCTTCAGTCAATAAATGAGTCAGACATGAATTACTTTGTTCCTTGAGGTGGGTGGGGACAGGGGACTAGCAACAAAGGTTTCCAAGTACTCTGCTCTTGATCAACAAAGCAGGAGCTTAAGAAGGGCAGTGTTGGAAGGAGGGGGGGGGAAAGGCAGCTGATTACTGTGATTAAGATACCAACATTTTGGAGAGAATGTTGGAACGTAAATAACCATCAGTGACTTCCCTCTGCCACTAAAGAAAGCAGGACTGTTTTTAAGTTGTCTAAAGTGAGATGATGGTTAATGTCCCTTCTAACTCTGAGATTCTAAGGTTTAAAAGCATAGGTAACGATGTGTTGTCCAAGGTCTCTGGGAATCTTAATTAAATTATCCAAGATCAGCATAATAATAAAACTGTTTATGAAGAACAATATTTTTTAAACTGATAGATTATCACATTCCTATGGTAAGAGTTAGTCTTTAAATAAACATTTCCTGCACAACAGTCATGCTGGCCATTAAAAAAAAGAATCCAGGGCTGGCCCTGTGGCTTAGCGGTTAAGTGCGTGTGCTCCGCTGCTGGCGGCCCGGGTTCGGATCCCGGGCGTGCACCGAGGAACCGCTTCTCCGGCCATGCTGAGGCCGCGTCCCACATACAGCAACTAGAAGGATGTGCAACCATGACATACAACTATCCACTGGGGCTTTGGGGGCGGGGGGGGGGGGGGGGAAAATAAAAAAAAAAAAAAAAGAATCCAAACAACAATAGTAAACCTATCAAAGACTATCACAGGATATAATGGCATGTCAAATTTGAAATAATATATATGTACTATTAAACTAGCCAGTTCAGCTTTTAAGATCATTCTGTCCATCCAAATATCCTAAACTCTTTTGTGCACAAGCAATCCCTTGCCAGGTACAGCACAGAATCAATCATGACCGCATCAGTACCATAAAAGATACTTTCATTACTGCTGTATTGGTCCTTCAAATCCTTTGGGCGTGATTGAACATCAGCAAACGACTGCAATTATGTGGGGAACATTTTTATTGATATTGCTCCACTGAAATACAAAATAGGAATTGTGCTGGCTTCCAAGACCCAGGAGATCTCCAGAGACAAGAATGTCAGTTACATTTTGCTCACCTGCAAAGCTGCCTTCTGCTGGGCTGCAATATGCTGCTGCTCAGCATGATCCCGGAAGTCCTTATTAAGAGAGGGTCTCGAAAGCGCAATGCTAAAATGGGAATCTTAGTTACATGGCTGTTTAAGGTAGAGACTTTCTTACTTCTCAATCACATTTTTCATTATATATTCTTTATATGGATAAAAGGAGACCTTTGAGAATAAGTCTTTTTTCCTTCTCCCACTGTCTACATTAATTTATATGAAGAAAGCCTATGTTATTTACTAGGGCTTCAAATTATCTCCTTTTTATTGATGATTTATGGTCTCTTAGTTTCAAACAGATTTGAGGTACTCCAGTCCATCATTAAGTTCCCTTTATGGTGAAAACTGAAGACCTGAATGTTTCCAGCAGAAGGTGTAGTGTGCAACGGCCTGGGGCAAAAGAGCCTGACATGTTTGAAGAAATGAGAGTTCAGCAGGACTGGAGGTCAGGGCTGGGGAGGGGTGAAGTGGGTTGGCAAAAAATGAGGCTGAGGAGGCAGGCAGGTGCCAGGATATGAAGAGCCTTGTGAAATATATTAAGAAATCTAGATCTTATTGTAACAGGAAAGGGAGACTTCCAAAGAGTGTTATAAGCAGAGGAGTGACATGATCAGAAGTACCACCGGGCCGGCCCTGTGGCTTAGTGGTTAAGTGCGCACGCTCCGCTACTGGAGGCCCGGGTTCGGATCCCGGGCGCGCACAGACGCACCGCTTCTCCGGCCATGCTGAGGCCGCGTCCCACATACAGCAACTAGAATGATGTCCAACTATGACATACAACTATCTACTGGGGCTTTGGGGGAGAAAAAAAAGGAGGAGGATTGGCAACAGATGTTAGCTCAGAGCCGGTCTTCCTCAGCAAAAAGAGGATTAGCACGGATGTTAGCTCAGAGCTGATCTTCCTCACAAAAAAAAAAAAAGAAGAAGTACCACATGACGGTCCAGAAAGACCACCGCTACAGCAGACAGTGCTGGTCACCTCCTCAACAACTATTTATCTCCCTTCCTCCATGCTGATGGAACCCAAACTTAATTCAATCATTGGTGGTCCCATGCTTCATGGCAGGCCAGGCTCATCCCTCAGGGGGTGAACTTTGACTGGTATAAGACAATGCCATTCCCCTTGCTGGCTCCTGGTTTAGGCAAGAGAAAGATACACAATACTGGGCAACTAGATTTGATGGGCAGTCTGTGGGAAGGCTTCTGAGAACATTCTCCTCACTCTTAAAAAAGGGACATAGGATAGGAACCTTTCTGGCTTTTGCCTCTACAGGTGGCTCAGTGTAGAGGTGATGCCTAGGCTACTGCAGTCATATTTTGACCATTAGGGAGCTACTGATCCATGGAGAAAGGCAGAAAGGAAGCTGGACCACTGCTGACACTGTTGTGCCACTACATTAAGCTACTCTGGAACCATCTTACCTTCACCTTCCTGGTTAACATATATCCTAATGTTTATGCCAACTTTGTTGGTTTTCTGTTAAAACAATAAAACATCCTAACTGAAAAAACTGATAAATGTATTCAAGAGGACTTAAGACTACAGGAAATTCAATGAGGAAGCAGTGATAGTAACTGAAGCAAGAAATGAAGAGTGGCCAGGACCAGGGCAGCATCAGTAGCAATGAAGAAAAATGGACAGATATGAGACACATTTCAAAGTATAAACTTATATTTATATCTCTTATGAGAAAAAATGCTTGGAGATGGAAATGAAAGGGAATAATAAACAATTAAAGTTCACATTTCTGACTCTGATAACTAGTAGATCTGTACCATTCACTGCGACAAGAAACCCTAGAATATGAAGCAATCAGAGAGAGGGAAAGGAAGACGACTTTAGTTTGCGCATACTAAGTTTGAAATGCCTGTAGGAAGGGGCCGGCCCGATGGTGCAAGCGGTTAAGTGCGCGCGCTCCGCTGCGGCGGCCCGGGGTTCGCCGGTTCGGATCCCGGGCGTGCACCGACGCACTGCTTGGCAAGCCATGCTGTGGCAGCGTCCCATATAAAGTGGAGGAAGATGGGCACAGATGTTAGCCCAGGGCCAGTCTTCCTCCGCAAAAAAAGAGGAGGATTGGCAGATGTTAGCACAGGGCTGATCTCCTCACACACACAAAAAAGAAATGCCTGTAGGACAATGAAGCGAAGTGGAGATGTCCAGGAGGCAGTTTGGTGCGTGGAAGACAGGACTAGGCTAGAGGTGCAAAAGTCATCAGCACAGCCTGGTGGCATAGTGGTTAAGTTTGTGCGCTCTGCTTAGGCGGCCTGGGGTTCGCAGGTTCGGATCTCAGGAATGGACCTACACGCCACTCATCAAGCCATGCTGTTGAGGCATACCACATACAAAATAGAGGAAGATTGTCACAGATGTTAGCTCAGTGACAATCTTCCTCAAGCAAAAAAGGGGAAGATTGGCAACAGATATTAGCTCAGGGCCAATCTTCCTCACCAAAAAAAAAAAAAAAAAAAGTTATCGGCATGTAAATAACAGGTTGTGAAAGTGGACGCCACTGTCCAGTGGAAAAAAGTAACTTGGAAACTGAGTTCTCAGAATTCTGAGGAATATCAATATTCAAGAGATAGGCAGTGGAGAAATGTCTGCAAAAAAAAAAATCAAGATAGTATAACATTAAGTGAATGGAAGCCAAGAAAAAAGAATTTTAAGGAGAGAATAGAATGATCAGTGGTGTCAAATAATGCTAAGATGTCTAACAAGAAAAGGACTTTGGTCCACCAGATTTAGCTACAAGGAGGTTACAAGTGACCAGGCTCGAACCTATTCTTTGTACAGAGAAGGGGGGGCCTAGATGTCAGATTGTAGTGGGTTGAGGAGTGAGAGAGAAAGTAGAAATGAGTATAGATAACTCCTTTAAGAGGACGGGCTGAAAAAGAGAGGAGAAAGTTCGAGTGGCAGTTGAATGGGATGATGGATCTCAGAGAAGAGATTTAAGATGGCAGAAGCTGAATACAATAAATGAGCTACCTAAATTTTACCTACTTTGTAGGTTAAGTTTGTTTAACATTTGCAGAATGTTTAAAAAGTGGGACATTAACAATAATTTCAGTAACAAAAAAACATACAAAACCCTTTTCTTTTTTTAAGAGTAGTCTATAGGGAAAATTAAATATTCCAATTAGAATTAAAATATTTAAAATCTAATCAAATAGCCTAATTTTTTCAAATCTAACTAGGAAAAAAAACATAACATGTAAATAAATTCCAATGTTAAAGAAACAAACCACTGCTAACCAATTTGAGTTATTTTGTCCAAGATATTTTTTTTTATCACTGAATATAAAAACCACATTATTCTTCAATACCTAGCTCCAGGATGATTTGTTGAAGATTGGTTCTGCATTAGTAATTTCCTTTTCTCTTTGTCCAGTTCTGCCAAGATTGCAACTCTATTTTTGTTTTGAAAACCTAAAGAAGAGAGGGAGTGGGGGGAAAAAAAGGGAGAAAGAGAGGAAAAAAACATTTTAGAGCCATTTTATAAACCTAGGCCATCTAGAAACCCAGAAAGCAAAATTCTGTTCTCTAACATGATAATGAACTCACTAGTAAGTACGGTCATGGGCCACATAACGGCGTCTTGGTCAACGACGGACCGCATATACGACGGTGGTCCCATAAGGTTAGTACCATACAGCCTAGGTGTGTAGTAGGCTGTACCAACCAGGTTTGTGTAAGTACACGCTATGATGTTCACACAACGACAACATCACCTAAGGCCACCTTTCTCAGAAAGCATCCCTGTCGTTAAACGACAGGACTATAGCTTCCCTAGATGGTTACTGTTTCCCTTCTGCCTATTTCACAACAACTTTAGCAGCATAATACCTGGGTATATGCAATATATACAACTGAAGACTTTTAAGACTTAGTTCTAAAGAATTTTAATCACTAAGGTATGGGTAGCAGCATTTGTTTTTTTAACAAAATCTCTGAGCCCCCAAATGCTACAGGCAACAATCTCTATTTTGCTCAGTCAATCTCTAGGAGTGGAGATTTTCTTAGTTCTCAGTTTTAGGCCTCTTGGTGAATTCCTCTTTCATGAGGGAAAAAGCATTAGACACGCTCAGATTAAAACAATACTTCTTTTTCTCAATTGCTTTCATTCAGAAATGACACACAACCTTTCAAGGAACAAGTCAAAGAACTGCATCTGATAGAAAGCAACTCTGAGAAACAAATGGAGCATAACTGACAGGGTACAAAAAGATATGTCCTTTATCAAATACTTAATACTGGGCTTGATTTTGAGCTCCAAACTTACATAAGATCTAGAGCAGAGGCTGCAACAACTTACATAAGATCTAGAGCAGAGGCTGGCCCAGGAGCAACATCCAATTATGCTTTAAAAATCTGAATTAAATGCCAACATGTCAACACTGAGAGTATACAAAATTCTCAGATTTCCTGCTTCTCTTGAAATCTCAAGATCTGGCAACAGAGGTCTGGATGCCCCCATGACAATAAGAAAGAGTTTTCCCCTTTAGCTGGGCACTCTCCAGCTTGTTAAGTCTCATATATACATATATATAAGGGCAGGCCCCCCCCAGCTTGTTAAGTCTTCATTAGACTTGTTTATACCAGTAGGCATTTAATTTTCTGATCCCTAATTTAAAAGAAAAGAACCGGAGGCTGGCCCCGTGGCGTAGCGGTTAGGTGCGCGCGCTCCGCTGCTGGCAGCCCGGGTTCGGATCCTAGGTACGCACCAATACACCAGTTGTCAGGCCATGCTGTGGCGGCGTCCCATATAAAGTGGAGAAAGATAGGCACAGATGTTAGCCCAGGGCCAGTCTTCCTCAGCAAAAAGAGGAGGATTGGCATGGATGTTAGCTCGGAGCTGATCCTCCTCACCAAAAAAAAAGAAAAGAAAAGAAGAGAAATGGAAAAGTTAAAGTACTGGAAAAGAATTACGGAGGGGGGGAAAAAGGCCCAGGGGACTAGAATCACTGGGCTAGAAGAAAAAATGAAGATGGCAGGAAGGAGGGAGCATTTTTCAAGAAGAGCAGACCTAAGCACTAAGGGCACTCACATGAGGGATTCTAAGGATTTTATGTTGATTATAAAGGAGAATTGGGTAGTAGGATGCATACTTCCCTCCTTTCCTGGGGGGAGGGCAGAGATTGGTCGGGCACAGTGCAGGATGTAGAAGGAACAAGGAGCGTTCACACCGAGACTGGGCTGAACCAGAAGCAGCTGAGGCTTGCAGCATTTTCAACTAAACCCGCTCTTAAATCCAGCATCAGCATACTGACTGGGCCAGGATTCTGGGCAAAATGTCTCTCTGCCACATCCATTTTAGGAATTTATCATCTCCCATTGTCCTTCTCTGCCCACTCGTGCTTATGCCATCAACTTGTCATCAAATTTCTAGTAATAGCTGACTCCCTCTTTCTGGATCAGCTAATTCACCCTGATACATTCTGGTACCTCTGAGGAGAGGGTTTTGCAAACCTTCCAGGTGATTCTTCATCTATTCTAATCCTAACTCAAATCGTCCTTCCTACCTGACGTCTCAGTTAAATCTTCCGGGGAAGAAGCTCTGTAGGGCCTTTACATGCCGTACATCATTACCTGCTCCACCCGCCCTTACAGACAGGAGTGTCTCAGGAGAAGTCTTCTACTTAAGGAAAGATTTAGTATAGCCAAAGTCCCAAGAATATGTGATATTTATGCCTGTGAATGCTAATGCTATGGTAAAGGATGCTATACGTGATAATAATTGAAACTTTGTCAAAATATTGTTAAAGAAATGCCATTATTAAAGTAATATATAATTTCAAGTCCAATGATTTAGAGAATCAGAAATTACAACTACCTGGCAGGGGTAGAGAAATGAGGGCAGAGATAAAGTGTACCCCACCCTGACCCCCACCACCATTTGACATGCAACTGTATATTTCAATATTAATATCTTTCTTAAAATCAAAATGGAGTTAAGAGATCCTCAGATTCCCCATTTTAAAGACAAGGCTGGTCAGAGAACTATCTTGAGGAGAAGAAATATGATCTGTCTCTTTCTGAGATTTTGGAATCCCACAGTAACTCATTTAATAGCCATGTGTCTCCCAGAAACAGCCATAGAAAAGATCATTGAGTTCTGAAGACTTCCACAATGTTTGAATTCCACGCCACAGTATTCTTTTCACTGATTTTCTGAATTTCTAGGTGTCTTAATTACCTGTGACATCTTTTAGGAAGTTATTTTGTATTTGCATTATTATTTTTATTTAAAAATTTGATTCTTTCTCTTTAGTAGTAATCAGAATTAAATTTAAAATGTTTGGTATTACATGACAAATATCTATACAAGAAGAATGGGATGAATGGAGGTTCCAAAAACCTCATCCATTAGAAATTTAAGTTGAAGGTACCTTTCCACTTGGTGTCAGAGACTTGGTCAACTGTGTGAATTCTGACTGGGCAGTCTAATTACTTCAAACTAGAGGTTCCCACACGTTCTCAGTTCACAGTGCCCTTAGCATCTCAATAATTTTTGCACGACACTCTCAGGATGACAGAAATACCTAACAATTCTGTTTATTATGTAGTTAGGTCCAAACAACCTAAGTATGATGTCTTAACATCTTGTACTTATATTAAAAAATAATACACATAAATTGCAAGAAAAACATTTGATTTCATTTTTAAATAACCACTAATGGGATGTGTGTGCCTGGGCCCTGTATAACTTTTCAAACCTTGGAATCAGTTCAGACACTACCATCCTCTTTCCCTGTTCCACAATGATTTTCACACAGTACTTGTTTTTTTATCAAAGCAATTGCCAAAAACCCATTTTACAAAAATATGACGTCATCGGAAGGAATGTAGCGCACTGGTAAAACTGTACACTCTCTTGAGCTAATTCACGTGGTGTTCAACCAATGTCAAGTACTGCTGTGTTTCCTTTGAAAACTTAGTTCTCCCTGAGGCCCCTGGATTTCTTCATGGTGTCCTAAGGTCCCATGGTACATAGTTTGCAAACCACAGCTTCAGACCTTTACTTCAACTACTACCAGAGCAACTGATGAACAATTTCTCTTCCATTCTATCAAAGCAATCTGCCAAAGGGGTTTAAAAACTAGGTACAAATAAAAGCGATAAAAAAATATTCTCAACAATTAATTTCTTACAAAGACCTCTCTCTAATAAGGATGACCATCACAGGGCCGGCCCTGTGGCTTAGAGGTTAAGTGCGCGCGCTCTGCTGCTGGCGGCCCTGGTTCGGTCCCGGGGGGGGCGCACCGATGCACTGCTTCTCCAGCCATGCTGAGGCCGTGTCCCACATACAGCAACTAGAAGGATGTGCAGCTATGACATACAACTATCTACTGGAGCTTTGGGGGAAAAATAAATAAATTAATTAAAAAAAAAAAAAAAAAAGGATGACCATCACAAACCATAATATCAACTCATATTTACACAATTAGGAAAATTATGTAAACATAACCACTATAAGAGAACTTTTATTTTATGTATTAAGGTAAACATTAAATTGCCTATATTTGACCATTTTCTACCTACAAAAACAATAATTTCATATGATTCACCAACTTTTTTTTTTTTAAACGACATATCTTTCTTGACTTGGTCAAGGAACAGGCACTTTAAAAAAAAAATTTCATGTATGTTTGACAATCAGAGCACAGGTAGCTATACTTAACTCTCTGTTACCATGGAAATTAAGTGTGAAAATTAGTAATTATAGGCTCTAAATTAATATTAATATAGTTTTTTTGTCAATTTTTTTAGCCCACTAAGGAGAGCTATGGGGGCCGGCCCCGTGGCATAGCGGTTAAGTGCCTGAGCTCCACTGCTGGCAGCCCAGGTTCAGATCCCGGGCGCTCACCGATGCACCGGCTGTCAGGCCATGCTGTGGCGGTGTCCCGTATAAAGTGGAGGAAGATGGGCACAGATGTTAGCCCAGGGCCAATCTTCCTCAGCAAAAAAGAGGATTGGCATGGATGCTAGCTCAGGACTGATCTTCCTCACAAAAATAAAATTAAAAATTTTAAAAAAAGGAGAGCTATGTTATTTTCAGTCTATGTACTACCTCATAGTGAGCCTGTTATCCAAATAAACAAGTAAATCAGTATAAATGATCTGACAGTGGATCAGATGGGCACTACAGAATATGGGTATCACTGATTTTATACAATAGAAATGTCCCTAAAAGTGATGTAATACAAATTAAGGTAAGATAATTATGGAAGGATAAGTATATTGCAATGTGTTAAAGGAATCCAAAAGTGAGTTCTCTGTAAGGTGAAGAATGCTTTCCAAGGAAAATTAGTACTCTCCCATTTATATATATGAAGTTGCATATGTTTAAGGCAAATTACACCACTAGGTACATTTCCAACTACAAGACAAGACTTTTTTCCTTTTCTCAGAAGAAGCTAATGCATTCT